GACTGGCACCTCTTCCTAGTAGCTTATCGAGCGAAGGCACAGGTCCTCTGGTAGAGGAAGATTCTTTAGAAAAAGTCCCAAGCTAAGATTGACTTTTTTCAGTCGCAAATAATTTAATGAATGGGCGACAGTAGGAATTTATAAAAGTAGGCGAAGGTTATACGAGCTTTATAATGAAAGAAATAATAGTAGAGTTATATTTAGAGAGTATGTAAAAACATATTCTAAAATATTTAAAAAAGTGTACTTCACAGCTAAGGTTTTACATTTACACAACAAAATTAAAACTGCATCCAATAAAATTAAAATGACGTGGAGAATAATTAATAGTGAAATGGGCAAGGTCAAACCGCGCAACTCGGATTTTCAATTGAATATTTAACAATAATTTTACTCACTCTGATCAAAAAGTTGATATGGTTTTTGAGAAGTATTTTACTGATGAATTTTTGAAAAAATCATTTTAGAACAGATGTTAAGTTTTTTTAAAAGGTTAATAAAATGTTTCATAAAAATCAATTTGATTTTACAAGGGGTAGCACGACAATTGACGCTGTAGTTGAACCTATTAAACATATTTTTTGTGCATGGGAGAATTCAGAGGATTTTGAGGACCTTGCCAATGCCTTCGATTGTGTTCACCATGAGCCATTAATCAGGAAGCTACAGAACTATGGTATCAACAACACAGCGTTTAAACTTATTTCATATTTAAGTAATAGAACGCTGAAAGTTATTATCAATGGTAAACGTTCTGCCGGGTCACCTATACTAATGGGTGTCCCTCAAGGCTAAATTCTCGGGCCATTCCTACTTCCAGGCATATATTAATGACTTACCTTCCCTTGTAGGGGATAATCAAGATATAGTATTATTTGCTGATGATACTTTCTTGATTTTTAAACTTAAACATCAACCATTTAAATGTGATGAAGTGAATAATGCTATTTCAAAATTAGTGCATTGGTTTATCACCAATAATCTACATTTAAACGGAAATAAAACTAAATGTAATAAATTTACAACATCGAATGTTAAAAATCGGAATACCAATGTGTTTTTTAAATGAAGAAGAATTGAGCCCTTTTGAATCCACTGCTTTTCTTGGCATCACTCTCGACGCAAAGCTACATTGGGGCCCCATATGGCACCCAAACTAGCAAGCAGACTAAGTTCTGCAGTTTTTGCTGTAAAAAAGATTAGAGGTCTCACTAGTGTAGAGACAGCTAGATTAGTTTATTTCAGTTATTTCCATAGCATAATATCTTATGGGATTTTGCTATTGGGAAATGCAGCTGATTTAGAAACTTTTTTGTTTTACAGAAAAGGGTCATTAGAGCTATTTATAACATAAAACCGTGAGTCTCTTAGAGAAAAATTTAAAGAAATAAATATATTAACTTTGGCCTCTTATTATATTTACGAAATTTTAATGTATGTTCACAAAAACAAAGGTAGTTTTAGTAAAAAAAGTTATATATATACTCTGTAAATACTGGGAACAAACACAAGCTAGAGATACCAGTTTCTCGACTCTCTCTCTCACTTTTCAACGTGGTAGAGCCATGCTGCAGCTATATTAGTGGTATAGTAACACGAATGCGTCGGCTCGACTGGGGAAGGACCACGCTCTCACAGAATACCAGCGTAAAATAGCAGCTTAAAACTGCTGTGTTTCGTATGGTGAGTGTAGAGAACCGGAGACCCTTTTTACTGGAAAAGAGGCATTCCATCTTAGTCCTCACAGGTGACAACGCATCTGCATTTTGATTCGCAAGCGAGGATAGATGTAGATGTCTATGGGCCACAGCAACCACTTACCATCAGGTGGACTGTGTGCTCGTTTGACACCCTATCCTATACAAAAAAAAGTTGCTCGACTGCACAGAGTCGCAATTTTGGGCAATGTATTAAGTAATGTATACGCTATTACAACAAAGTCTCAGAAAATATACAAGTTCTCTCTATTACCAAGTTTAAATATTTTATTAAACAAAAACTGTACAAAAAGAGTTATTATAATATAAATGAATACATGATTGATAATAACCCCTGGGAATAAGGTAGTCGCTTCCAATTTCCAAAATGAATTTTATAAATAGTTTGTACAACTATTCATGTAAAATTTACTTTAAAAAAAGTCCCGCTGGGGTTCTTGGTGGTTCTTCCCAGGACAGAGGTTTTTTTTCGTGGTAAAGTGAAACATGACTTTCAATAAGAATTACATATGTGATCTATATTAATAAAAAAAATATTCTATCGGAAATGAGAAGTGTTCGGACAATGTCCGTCCGCTGTTTGAAGAGATAACACGACATTCTCGTCAGCTTTAATAACCACGACCAGAGACTAGTGTTGCATAATTTACGATTGCAAGGGATTACACAGATTATAACAACTTAGGGTCGTATGATACTAGAGAAGAGACAAGTATTTAATATATCCAAATTTGACAAATTAAAGATTTTAGAATATTTTATGCAAAGAGATTTAATATACAGGGTAATTTTTAATTTACTTAAGACCTTTTGGGAATATATTGGTTACATCATTACAAACAATTTTAGCGAGATCACTCTTTACAGAATATAATACATTTACGAAAAAACTACTATTAAGTTTTTGTTGTCATGTCTGACTACTTTTAAGTCTGTATTTTGTAGTACCTAAACAATGTCAGAATAAATCATCAAAGAAAATGCCTTATTTATTTTACACTTGATATCAGTATCACACATTGTGTTGAAATTATTAAACATAATTAAATAAGCAAATGAGATTCAAAAAAAAATCACAAATATTAAAATTTATAATAAGTAAGTATGACCGCTGGGCCAGTCGACGCCCGCGCTCAGCAGATTGCGTTGCCAGTGCCTACTAAACCATTCATCACTGTGCCTATTGCACCAGGGCGCCACTTTAAATGACTTTACATTAACTTTTGATATACTTCTTCATTTTGCATAAAACCATTTAATGAACTATTTGATTCATTTATTAATTTCTTTACGAATTAATAGACATTCTTTAATAGACATTTAGGTAGTTTTTTTTTACAAATACTATTTGCTAGCAACGCTGCCTGCATCCAAGAGACAACGTCGCATCCAGCTGGTAGCAACGCCTCAACGTCGCACATGCGGCGGCCCAAGGCCAAGCCAAAGGTATATTATGACGTCGACACATGTGTCATCGTCATCAAAGGCGCCGCGTGCCCTTTTCGGTATGCAGCCATCGATTTGGTGATCGATGTTTGCAGCACGTCCAAATTAAATGAGTATTATTAACTATTTTTTTAATTTAATGTAAGTTGTATTTAAAAATGGATGCAGGTTAAAATAATTACAAATATTACAATAAAAAATATTATAATGATTAAATACAAATTAACAGTAATTGAATAAATATATTAAGGTATAATGGTTCAATAAAAATATTAAAATACAAATTTAAAAATTAGACTTACCTAGGTACTTGTCCACGGATGGCGATGAGTATCGCGCACATAGCGTTCAAAATAATCACCTCCACATTCTATGCATAGGTGACACCTAAAACTTAACTGTTCACCGCCACGAGATAATACTTGATGATTCATTTTGATTTGATCGAATGCCCAAATTATTTTTTCTTTAAGCATGTACAAGGCCCGTCACGACCGATCCAGCGACCAGGGTATTCTCTGTTTAAATGATCCTTAACTTGGCGAGCATAGTGCGCCGGCGCTCCATCATGTTGGTAATACATATTGCGTAGAGATGCAAGTGGTATGTCCTCTAACAACTCTGGCAGCGTGTCGTTGAGAAAACTATGATAGCTTTCACCGTTTAATCTTTCTATGAAGACCGGGTCCAGTAACGTTGTATTAATAACGCCTGCCTACACATTGACACTAAACCAGTGTTGAAAGCTATGCGGTCTTGGTTCATGTGGATTTTCATAGCACCATAAGTGCTCAGTGTGCGAATTAAATAGTTCTATTCTGCCAAATGTTGCTTCATCAGTCCATAAAATGTTAGCTCGTTCAGCAGCTAGTAACCAGTTACAAAATGTAACTCGCGCTGGTTTGTCAGCATCGCTGAGTTCATGAACCCAATGCAGGTGGAAAGGGTACATCCCTTCATTGTGTATGACACTCCATGCATAGTACTGTGACAAAAAACTGTAGTATGTCTTCCTGCTCCGCGCCGCGGGTGGACGACCACGATCGATTGATACAGGCTGGAATTGCCCGTAATCTCGCAATCGCTGTGTAGTACCTAGCATCGTAGCGTAGCTCGGTGCACGTGAGTTGGGAAATCGCCTTGAATATTCACGGCAGGCTTCACTAACGTTATCATTGCAAATTGCTAAAATTCGCATCATTTCGGTATACTCAACATTTGAGTATCGGTAAGCCATCGTAACAACGTAACGTTCGCGATATTAATCTCACAAAGGAAGACGAAACGAAGGAGAAAGATCGCGGGCGCACCAAAGGCGACTGACGACACAGGTAATTAGGTCAAGTTCAAATGAGCAAACGTCGCCTCCTACACCCCTCCACCCCTACCCCGCCACGCGATTTCTTTTGCTAACTAGGACTATTACCGTTTAGAAGGTCCAATTAAAATATTTTTATATTTGTATGAAAATAAAAATTGAAGAAATATATTTTTTTTCTTACAGATGTTATTGTTATGATATAAATAATATATTCCCAAAAGGTCTTCAGTAAATTAAAAATTACCCTGTATACTACTTAAATGTCTTTGATTTTATGTAATTTATTATAATTAACATTATTTGTTTGTTAAATAATTACTTTATTAGCTTACAACGCTACACTGCAGCGGAACGCAAAAAGTAAAGTAAATAAAATACTTTGATTATTATCTTAATAAATATAATATCAAATTACTTATAGTTTAAAATTCACTATTTACCAAACTTTAATAATTAAATAATCACAGCGTTACAGTTTATTGTGTATGTTATTTGAATATTTTAGATATTCTTTATCATTGCACCTTCTGAAACAAATAATTTTTATATAATTATAAATAAATATACAATAATTTATATAGTTGGTATAGAAAATAACTTAAAAGTCATATCAGTTACAATTAATTACATCCTCACCATGGTTATTTCTGGAAATATCGTACTCAGATTAAAGTTTGCACGAGACGTAGCCGGAAAGCTGGCGAGCGAGCGATCGATGTTATGGCTTACATTTTGCATATTGGAAGGCATTAAATGAGTATTAAAGAATTCAGACTGATACTGACTGCCGGCTGATATCTGGTTACTGACGTAATTGGGAAAAGATAAATCGTCTGATACATTTGGATGCCTTTTCGTCGTAGTTTTACTTTGCCAGAGTAAATGAGCCGATTCGCTCCATTCCTCGACATCGTTAGTTAATTTAGCTCTTTTACTGTTGCATTTCTTATTAGAATCTTTTTTAGAACATTCTAATTTGTGTTTAGCTGATGTTTCTCTTCTTGTTCCTTTGTATTGCATTGGAGTCGGCTTATCTTTCAGAAGCATTGCTGTGTTAGCTTTCATTTTTAAATCTTCATATTTGTAGTTACTATAATTACATTCAGCTGGCTGGTTATAGTCGATATACTCACTTTGAAACGGTCCACTTGCGTAATTTCCAGTCATTAAATTACTACTTCCAGGCATAAAATTTGAATAGAATGAATTCGATATAGTATTTGTTGTAGAATTATAAAGAGTTGTTCCGGAAAATTGTTGTCCAGTGTAACTATTATCAGGATATTCAAGCAATGGCGGAAAGTGCGATACTTGGGCCACGCCACTGTCTTGAGTCATATTGAAATCATTAAATTTTTGTGATGGGAACATAAATTTTGAGATAGTAGTATCCTGAGTTTTTTGATTGCATGGTGCACCTCTTATTAAGGCCTCAGCTGAATAACTAGTTTTCTGATTACTTTTAGAACTTTTATCCGACTTGTTATTTTTTTGTTTTGTTTGCGATAGCTGCCCCATACTTTCGTAATTCATTGGCTTTGGTTCATTAAACGCATAACAAGGTTGTGCTAATTGAGTTTCTATGCGTGGTGGTTTACGATGAGAATCACTGTTTATGTTCGAAATGTTTTGTTTTGGGGGGTTCAAGTTGGATTTTGTAGTTTCCATATTTGGGCCTTGATAACGGGATTGTACATCTGACGAACGATTCATTAATTGCGTTACAGAAAAGAAGTTATTACAATTTTGTAAATCACTTTGTGGTAATACTCTATTAACTGCATCGTTTTTCTTTTTATCATGAGGACCAAGAGCTAAATCACCAACTAGTGTAGGTAAGTTGATTGGCGGAGGCTCTATACTTATTTCTGTAGTACCTGCAGGCCTGGCTGTTGGCCATACTTGAAATTCTTCTTGAGTAACTTGTGTTGGGAAATTGTGCATATTGATTGGGAAATAATTACCGTCAGTATGATCATGTTTTTTTGGCGCAGGGTTAACTTGAGAGTACAAAGTTTTGTTACTTTCTTTAACGTTTGTTTGATTTGAAATGCAATTATTTTGCATAGGCCTTATTTCGGACGTCATCCAATTTATATGCATTTTATTTGAAGATTTTTTTGTATATTTATCCGATATTATTGTTGGTTCACCAATAGGTTTAATATTGTGGTCTGTTGTAGTATCTGATATTTGTTTTACTGTATTAGCTTTAAGATTTATGTTTGTTTGAGCATGATCAATATGAGCAAAATTTTGAGGCTTAGGGGTAAAATTCTTGGAAAAGTTGTTGCTTGAATAGAATGACATATCTTCGGACCATAAATTACTTGGTTGAGAATAAAAACTTGTTATAGCTTCAGGGAATGACGTGATTGCTTTGCTTGGAATATTTTCTTTTTTACTTGAGCTGGAGACTAGTGGTACATGAAACTCTGGATTGAAAGGATTATATGACGTAGAATACTGTGTTGGAGCAGTTGTTAAAATATTATCTTTGTTAAACGTACTTGAAGAAGTAGTACAGGCGACAAAATCAAAACCTTTATGCGACCAACCAAGATCGATGTCATAAGTTAGTCTAGACGGTCCGATTTTCATAAGGTTTTCTTCAACGTTAGTAAAATCTGATTTGTTTTTTGTAGAAAAGTTCTCCATAGCACAAGGGTAGAGACCGATGCTGTTGAATTCGTGCCCCGAAGAAATATTGCTAGTGCTGTAAATAGTACTTTTTGCAGTGTTTAATGGATCACTTTTATAGAAAAAATTGTTGCCATTTATACTGCTGACTGATTGATTTGCTTTACTTATATTACAATCGAAATCTAGTGAAAATGTAGAATCAGTAGGAGTGCAACTTGTCGATATTAATGTCGGTATAGGCAAGTTTAAAAATGGATTATCACTGGATGAATTAGTAAGCGTAATCTGATTGACCACTTTAGGTTCGATATCTTTAGAAACATTGACACTGTTTATAAACCTTTGATGTTCGGTATGCTTGTGTGTTACATTAGGAAGGTTTTGATTATTTTTCGTTGATTTTACTTTAGCATCATTTGGTTTAGGAAAATATGGTGGTTGTGGTACCGGTATATCATTTCTCCTTTGATTGTTTGATTGATCCTTCGAATTTACATGTACATTGCTGTGATTTTCTTCGGCAGGACTGTCGGCTCTGTTTCCACTTACTAGTGGGAATGACATGAGGAAAGCTGCTGTTGGTGAAGCAGCTAAGAATTCTTCTGCTAACTCCAGTCGGGCATTACCACCGTCCACAACATTATCGCATAATGCTGTATCTAATATATTAGGTAATTTGTTTTCCTTATCTTTTTCTTCTAACAATAAGTCCTTCTCAGAAGAAATTTTATTAGCTTTTGAAGTGTTTTCTACATCAATCTCTCTCAATTCCATATTTTGCACTACGTTCGGTTTTTGAATTATAGTAGATGTTAGAGATATAGTAACTGGACTTGAGTCAGAGGTTTTTGGTGGAAAAGTGCTTATGATGTCTTCATCAATCTGAGGTTTTGTTTTAGAATTTTCATTTGAAGAAGAATCACTTGTATTTCTATCAGCTGTCAAGCTATTATTATTTTCATTTGACGCATTATTGCAACCACTATTTTTTTCCTTATCAGACGTTTCACTATTTACATCAGCTGCTTTACAGTCCTTGTTTTCGTCTTCTGGTGATTGTTTTTTATTACTACTAACAAGCGATTCTTCAGAAACTTCAACAACCGGTTTAGTAACTTTTTTAATAGTTTTTCGTTGAACATGGGGTTTGGATTTTGAGTTATTCTTCTTTGGCCTGGTAGCAGATAAAGGTCGTGAATATGCCGATATAGGCAAAATATTAACCATTGTGGTTTTTGTCATATCTCCCATGTTTCTGTTTACAACAGGACCAGTTGTTGATTTATTTATTGTTTGTATATTTGGATCTAATAATACTATTGCAGGAGGTACTGCTGGGAATAATAAAGGTCTCTGCGGTAATATGTATGGAGCACCTGAGAGCATTACAATAGTATTTTCTATACCTGAAAGGCAAATAAACTACAATATATTATTTATTGTTGATTAAATATTAATTTATTATTAAAAAGCATTTTTGGAAATGAACAAAAATGTTAATGTAGCATTAACTTAATACAGATAAAGTTATTACTATAAAGTCAGCAAATAGATTTAATAGAAGGTTTACTGTTTGACCGAAAAGTTTTTGTGATAACTCATTGTAGTTACATGTAAATTAATAATGTAAGAGGTCGCAAAGTGGTGAATAGAAATACAATGAAATATGTAGGAAAATAATTTTAAATTAATCTTCCTTCATATTTCAATCCTGACTGAAGTAATCCATTATCATCACAAACTACATCAACAGCCTAAATGGATTGCTGAACAAAGGTGTTTTTCAAGAATGCACCAGCTGGCAAGCATTTCAAAGAAGATTGGCTTATACATTAGGCAGGCAAGTTTGTAAGCACACAGCAGATTCCCTTGCAGTTGTAATGCTGCTTCTCATGACCAGTCTAAGAGATATTCGAGTTCAGCGTTGATGGATGGAGTTTTTTGCTGTCAGCTGTTAATACAAGACTCATAGATTAGCAGGTGCACCATGTATAGGTGAGGTTGACATTTTCCTCCCTAGTGTTCCATTAATTATCATAGGATTTTGTTATATATGGTGAGACCACACTTTGTAAATAAAAAAATCAGCTAAATCTGTTAACTACCACAGTGATCAAGTTAATTAAAATAAATCCTTCTAATATGAAGGCAGTTAAAATAGAATCATTTTATTTACATTCAGCCACAGCGAAATATTATTCAATCCAACAGTGAATAATATTCACTCTGGAAACATATTTACAAATTATTTAAACCAAACTAAAAAATTGTTCGAAATTTGCATCTTTACCATTTTAGTAGATACCTATTTAACATTTGCTATGATATTGAATTAAAGAATAGCTTCTTACGTTTTTAAATACAGACATGAGTTTTGCCTCTTTTTTCATTTGTAGTTTAATACTTCATTACGTCAAACAACACGTGTTTGTTACTAACCCTACGAATATTTAATTATCTACTGAAGCAAATCTAGAGACTAAGCCGATCATTGCACAGATCCTCCATGATCCATACTTGCCTCCAAATTATTTATCAAATACAAAATTACAAAGTACGCTTAAAGAAAACTAAACCATGTAACATTTAATTTACCACAATATTCATAATATATTTCTATAGTTGTAAAACTACATATGAGGTTTAAAATGTATGTACTACTCTTAAAATAATTAACTTGAAGGCTTAGAAACTTTTAATATGTAATACAAATAATTTGCTACCTGTAAACTATCACTGAATAATGCATTGGCACAAACCACCCCAATATTCTTTATGATAATACTAATAAGAAACATTCATATTTCACTTATGTGCTGATGTAGTTTGTGCACAGAGTTAGATTATTTGTGACCCACAACATTGCATTTCTGTGATAAAACTACTAACTACCTACCTAGATAGATTTTTAATCAGAATAGCTCTAAGTGGTGATTGTTTAATTTATTACTACATTTTTTACCTACCTTTTTTAGTATTGATATTAGGCAATGGTAATAATTTTGGTAATTTTTGTATAGATTTGTTGGATGTGGCATTCTCTTGTGAAGATTTATTCTTAGGTTTTGGGCTTGCAGTGTCGTCTATGGTTACTGGTGGTTTCTCTTTTAACACATTTTTTTTAGATTTCTGTAACATCATTAACCTTACATATTTGCCATCTGAAATTATTAAAAAATGTTGAATTAGAACATGTTATATGGCCCATGATATAATATATATTATAGCAGACAGAATCACTATCTCAAAATGTAAGATGGATAGGAATTGCGTATAAGGTGCAAGTGCAAGTACTGCAATCACTAATCAATCTGCCAATAGTTAGAATTTGCAAATAGTTGGAAGATTTCATATGTAAATGAGATTCCTCTTAAGTTTCTGATACTAACGGTATGAATAACATAATATGAATAACATTTTCATCATCCATGCAGGTCTTTATTTTATTATGTGTATGTAGGAGAAGGGATTGGTCATGCTGAATAAGAAGTCAGGAATTACAAGATAATATTTAGTTTTATATTTATAAATTGCACCAGGGCACTTTTATAATAAATAATAATAATTAATTTCAAATTAATTATCCATGAGCATCTATGAATAGCTAGTTTAGTACAACCAGTGCACAGAGTCACGCCAGAGACAAGACTGTCCGATCCATCGCTGCGCGGTCGTTTTATACCCGTTGCAAAACAAGTCGAGTAGTGGTGCAGTGGGGGAAATCGAGTGGCACGCTGGGTGGCGTGATCAGTGCATGTGTTGTTTACAAGTTTTGCTGTGCTGGTGTACTACCACCGTCATGCCGTCATACCGTCACGGCCATAATAACACGCGGACGTCTTCGTACGCAGTGACAGAATCATTATGGTTCAGAAGCTATGAGCATCATTCAATTATCCTAACAAACCCATAAATTTTTACACATTCAGCGATATGTTCTGGTCTGGTCTACATCAACCCTTTAGGCAATTAGTATTGGACTGGTTCCTTTGAACCCTGCAACACTAATCAGTTTTGGTCTGGTAAAATGCCCTTCAAAACTATTTTTTTTAAATAGAATCATTCTTTTTTCTATTTTCTCTTTCTTTTCAAGTACTGTTTATGCTAGTCCGGATTAATTATTCCCTATAGCCATATCACTGGACAGGCAAAAGCCCTGCAATGATAGTAAGAACCATTTTTTCTTACTTTAAGTACTGTAGCCAAGACATTATGAAGTGGCAGTGGATCCGATCCCACTTCTGATGTAGGAGAAAGATGTCGGCCATGCTGAATTAGAAGTCAGGGATACAAGATAAGATTTAGTTTTATTAATTATAAATTGCACCAGGGCACTTTTATAATTTATGATAATAATTAATTTCAAATTAATTATCCATGAGCGCCCAGGGTAAGCTAGCTTGGTATAACCAGTGCACCGAGTCACGCCAGAGCCAAGAATGCCCACTCGCTGCGCGGTCGTTTTATACTCGTTGCAAAACAAGTTGAGTAGTGGGGCAGTGGGGGAAATCGAGTTGTTTTTTTATAGGATAGGGTGACAAACATGCACACAGTTCACCTGATGGTAAGCGGTTGCTGTGGCCCATAGACATCTACATTTATCCTCGTTTGCGAATCAAAGTGCAGATGCATTGTCACCTGTGACAACTAAGATAGAATGCCTCTTTACCAGTAAAAAGGGTCTCCAGTAAAGGTTCCAGTACAAGAGAGGCGCTGCGTGGCGTGATCGGTGCATGTGTTGTTTACAAGTTTTTCTGTGCCAGTGTACAACGACACCGCCGTCATGCCGTCATGTACTTTGCCATTTGGTATACAAATTCATGTATTTTATATTTCGGTACTAATATGGTATATAGTATGATATATAGTATATGTTGTAATAATTAAACTAAAGATATAAAAATAAGAACTAACTTTTATTTTTCCTGCAGACTACAGCAGATACTTGAATACTTGCATCTTTTTTATCAGGTTTTACATTTTTTTCAGCCTCAAGTTTTACTTGTAGCGCTAAAATTTCACCCTCTGAAATTTATAAAAATGTTTATTTGCAACAATTTTATTTAAATAAAAGGGTTTATCTAGATTTGCAACAAATATTCGGCTATTATTCGGTATATGACCTAATCCTTCGGTCTTCGGTATTATAGGTACTATTCGGCCGAATAACAAATAAGTACTTAAGTAAGAGGTTTTATTGTAGTCAGATATTTGGTAAAAAGAAAAATAAGTATTTATTTATTTAATAACTAATTTCTTTTCTTGTAATCATTAAAGTAGTCAGAGGTACATAATCAACTTCCATATTATAAAAATTATAAAATAACTATCAGGACAGAGACAAATTTTCCTTCATTTTCAGGCAGTAGTTTACTCCATTTCTTCTCGTAGACAATCCCAGCTTCAGAGAATAGACGCTCTGAAAAATAAACACTACTTCCTTCCCAGCCGAATACTTTGCCTAATATTCAGCTATTCGGCCTGGAAGTCTGTAGAATATTCAGTATTCGGCATGTGGCCGAATATACTATTAGTTACAAGTCTAGTTTTATATATGGAAATATTAACCTCTTGAATGCTGATTGTGAATATTTGTGTCATTTATCTTATCATCAGCCTTCAATAGTCAAATGAAGGTTTGTCCTCATATTATGGTAATTTATTTGTTTACTCAGATTTCTTATTATATTATGTTATTGTTAACAATCATTACATAAAACTAACAATAGCTTGAAAACCATCGCTATGAACCATGTGTCACCACTTATACAGACTATATTTACATTATTAAGAAAATATAGTAATAGGTAAATATTGTTTAACCTCCAAGTCTTAACTTAAAAGTCCAAGGGTTACCTTTAGTGAAAAGCTCACAATGTCATATTATTTTGTATGTGAAAGTCGCTGGAATAGAGCATATGGTTATTGTTTAAAAGTTTGGTAGTCACAGGATTAAAAATATTAAGAAAACTGTGTTCAATTGTAATTAGATAAAGTCATATTACCATAGCTCTTATCCCAAAACCATTTAAAGGAATGCTTACTTAGTTGCGTTTTTTCTTGAGCACAGTTTGTTAAGCATAAAATTGCTTTTTGTACTATTTCTATTTTAGGAAACTGTACACTATCAGATGACTCAGATTTGGTGTCATTTTTTAACATTTCCTTAACCACTTCTCCCAATTTTGTGATAGCTTCATTAAACCTATTACGTCTTTGACGTTCCCACTCTCTGCATCGGCTGAAAATATAAAAGGTGGCATAAACTTATTGTCTAATTTGAAATCAACAACCCATTTTTAAACCAGTGCCTGACTATTAACGCACCTGATGGTATCGGGGAAGTGCCAAACATGGTAAAGCGCACTGATTTATCATTTAACTAGTCATTACTTATAGTTTCCATTAATTATAATCATTCAGATAATCATTGATTAGTCTAACCAAAAACAATGAGTAATAAAAAAAACCAATTATATAGTGGAATTTGTGATCAAGTTATGATATACTGTATTTTACATTAATTAAAATCAAATCTACGGGCTTAGAAAGCATTATGTTTACCTCGGCGTACGATGTTTATTAGTAGTAGTCTCCATAATTATTTTCTTAAAATATTTATCCCTTAATAAAATAAAACATAAGACGAGCTGACTTAGGCAATTTCATTAAATCGAGTTCCATTTGTTATTTAAGAGGATCGTAACTAATTATATTTTAATTAAAAAATAAATAGAATTAATATGTACGAATTTTAACAAAATATTTGAGTTTGTATGTCAATTAATGTGTCAACTGTCATTAGTGAATAGTGATGTATCTATTTACCGAATTTCCAAACCGATTATTTGAAACAGTTAGTAATCGGAATTTATATTTTAAAAGTAGCAACCCGCCCCGACTTCTATTAACGTGACGTTGTTTATATTTAAGATAATTATAGTAGTCAATCATCTATCAATCATTGCACTAGTCAATCTTTGTTTTCTCAAAAGTATCTTTCCGTCTTTGCTCAAGGAGTCCCTAGTAACAACAGTTTATATAAATAGCGGCATGAAAGTCTAGCGGTGACCATTATTGCGCATAAGTCGAAAATAGGGTATCATGGGGTACTAAGCGGGTTGCGGGGCGGGAGCGCGTATCGTTCACACGCGCTGTTTGGTTCTGCGTATCGTTCACACGCGCTCATTGGCTCTCCAGTCGCATTTGTGCAATTCAATACGTGGGCGACAGTACCCATGCGCAGCTATCCCCTCCACGTTTCTTTCAGCGCTAGGAGTGGAGATGGGAAGTATATCAACAACTACATATCAATTTCAGTGTTGCTGGCAATCTCAAGAGTTATAGAAAAGCTTATGAACAAGAGGCTTATAAGTTTCCTCAATAAGTTTATCATATTATCCAGTCATAATTTGGCATTCAAACAGGAAAATCGACTGAAGACGCTGTAGAAGCCTGTAGTTCTTGATAATCTTGATAAAAAGTCGTCGCTTCAAGTTAAACCTCGCGTTGTTTATTGACCTTAAAAAGGCAATTGACACCGTGTCTACCCCCATTCTGTTGCAGAAGTTAGAAAATTGTGGGATTAGAGGTGTGTCCCTTGACTTGATTAAAAGTTACATGACTGGTAAAAATAGGTTCACATGTAAGTAAATAAAGTAGTGTAATTTATAGTGTACCGCAGAGAAGCGTCTTGGGGCCCAGCCTGTTTCTAATATACATAATAGAACTCTGCAGCATAAAGATATCACATGCTAGCATATTCTCATATGCTGACGATACTGCCATTGTGTTTACAGATGACTCTTTGAACGATTTAAAGATCAATACAGAGCGTGGTTTCGCTGTGATTTCGCAATGGCTAAGTCTGAACTTACTATAGTTCTTTAAATATAGCTTGATTAGAATAACAGCTGTCATTCTGATGTGGGTAGGTGCTGCGAACATTAAATCGATATATCGATAAAGTATTCCTAAATAATAATAAAAAATATGCACACAATACTTATTTTAACCAAGTATTTAAATATAAAAAAATAAATAAAAAAATAGCAATAATAAATTTATTGACACAAAGGTGTACATACTAAGTCAATCTTCATCATCAGAATCAGAGTCTCTGGAACAATCTTCGAGATTAATTATTAATTCCTGATTACGCAAATAATCAAAGCGGACATCACGTTGTCAATGTTTTGTGATAATTCTTCGCGTTTTATCGACCACCTTCTTTCAATAATTTGGTGTTGCATGTTCACATGCATTGTTCAGCAAATTTCACATTTTATTTGCCGTGAACGGTGTGGTGGTGTTGTGTCTTGCTGTATGACCTAAAACGAAAACAATTTTTTTTTTTTTATAGGAGAGGGGGCAAACGAGCATGCGGCTCACCTGATGGTAAGTGACTACCGCCGCCCATGAACAACCGCAACACCAGGGGAATTGCAGATGCGTTGCCGGTCTTTTAAAAAGGAGTAGGCTCTTTTCTTGAAGGTCCCTAAGTCGTATCGGTCCGGAAAAATCGCTGATGGTAATCGATTCCACAAGGAAGTCATGCGAGGAAGAAAACATCTTCTAAATCGCACAGTGGTGGACCGCCAATCATCCAGATGGTGTGGATGGTATCGGGAGTTCTGCCGCGATGTGCGTTCATGAAATTTGGCGGCTGGGATTAATCCGAACAATTCCTCAGAGCACTCCCCATGGTAGATGCGAAAGAAAATGCAAAGAGATGCAACATCTCATCTGGCACTGGGGAGCCACTGCCCAGAGATGGGAACAGTATTCCATGTGAGGCCGAACCTGCGCCTTGTAAAGTTGCAGGCGGTGTGCCGGCATGAAATACTGTCCCGCTCTGCTGAGCACGCCAAGCTTTTTAGAGGCCAATTTGGCCTTCTCTTCCAAGTGACCACGAAACTGCACGTCACTCGATATGTCGACTCCAAGGATACCGATACTGGCTGAGGCAAGAAGGGGAGTGCCTTGAAACTGAGGAGATACGACAAAGGGGTTCTTTTTAGCGGTAAACGCGCAAACTTGTGTCTTCTGAGGATTAAACTGGACTAGATTTAGTCGCCCCCAATCCGAGACTTTGTCCAGCAAAGACTCGACTTCAGACACAAGTTTGTTCCGGTACTCGGCGACGTTTTCCCGAGAAATATTGGCCCGGCCGGTGTATAGAGCATCACCAGTGCTGTCATCCGCATAGCAATGAATGTTACCAGTTAGCAACATATCATTGATATGCAGAAGAAACAGCGTTGGTGATAGCACACAGCCTTGTGGAACACCAGCGTTAATAGGCTTGTAGTCAGAACATGCACCGTCTACAACGACCTTGATGCTCCGATCTGCAAGGAAGCTGGTGATCCAATTGCACAATTTCTCGGGAAGCCCATAGGAAGGGAGCTTCGAAAGAAGCGCTTTGTGCCAAACCCGATCGAAGGCCTTCGCAATGTCCAGACTAACGGCCAACGCCTCCCCCTTGGACTCTACTGCCTCCGCCCATCTATGGGTCAGGTAGACTAGAAGATCACCACCTGATCGACCCCGACGAAAACCGTATTGGCGGTCACTGATCAGCTGGTGATCCTCAAGGTACCGGATGAGCTGGCAGTTAATAATGGATTCCATTATTTTGGAGAACAAGGAGGTGATCGCGATAGGCCTATAGTTGGACGGGTCTGAGCGGTCGCCTTTTTTAGGGATCGGGTGGACAAAAGCTGTCTTCCATGAGTTCGGGACAACGCCATGGGAGTAGGAGTACCGGAAAAGACGCGTTAGAACCGGTGCCAACTCCGGAGCACACGTCCTCAGCACAATTGGGGGGATTCCGTCAGGCCCACTCGACTTGTGGATGTCAAGGGAGAGGAGTGCTCTGCGAACCGAGCACTGTGAGAATAGCACATCCGGCATAGAGCACTCACACCACTTACAATTTATAAGGTATGCACTAATTAATCAACATCATTTAAATATTAAATAGTGTTACGTCCTACAGCTGCCTCTGCAAATGTCAAATCTCCCGGGGCCCATGAGCGTAAGATTCAACGGGCAGCCGCGGGTTCGAGCCCGAATGCCTATATGGAAATGTCCTATCATAATAAACTATATGAGAGAATGCTAGAAACACATAGTACGTACCAGTATCAGAAGCTAACTTCGCACCAAGGCTCGGTCAGGCCGTGAGTGGGTGTAAGGTGAATGGCAAGTAGTGCTCAGTGGTGTGTAAATGTCTAAGACCTTGACCAACTTAGGCGACCAGCAGCGGCCGAGTTCAAGGATGCCCCACAATGCTGCATCGCTACAGCAGGCTCCACCGCTGGACCATTTCTTTATTCATTGTCACTGTTTCAGTCTATTACCTTCATTGTACATTTAACTAATTTAAACTCGCCTAATTCCACATTATTCGTAGAATCCAACACGTGATACCCGACACAGTAAGGACAGTAGTTCAAAATTCGAGATTCAATGTCCCGGATTCACTTATCACCAAATTATAAATCGGGAATTAAAGCGATCTCTTTATGAGTCATACGGTTCAGCGTTAAACACAACTAAGTTCCTTCATTCGACACCAAAACACCACGTCGTGAAAAGAATTCAAAATACGCCTGTTTGACACGTAAACTAACAAGCCAACCAACACACAAAAGGGGGCACTTAACGCAACGACACAATTATAATGATTTCCTGACAATCAACCGGGAGAAGCTCTCGAACAAGGAATGCGCGGTTCGAATCCTAGACCGTATATCTACTTGACGCGCGCGTGCACAATTCCGCATCCCCGAACAAGTTAAATATTGCAAAATTCACATATCCACGTAACGAAGTAACACGCACTTAATCTAACTATCTGGACCCTACAACGATCACGTGAACTTCGGCCGCGATAACGAGCTACGCGGGTTCCCCGCATCGCGGCCAGTGGGCAACTCCCTTCGCCCACGCGTCGAGCCACCCAAGTTGCACACCGCCGCCCGACCTGGCGGCGTTTTTTCACCTACATACTATCGGATGACGCGACAGCTCGAACGCAATTGGATGGCGTTCAACATGACCAAATTTAGGCATAAACAAATACCTTTAACTTGCACCCAAATTAATTCTATTGCGTTATACTGACAATAATACGGTGGCAGGCGGATAGCGGTATGTTCATTTTCTTTTGCCATCTCTTTGATATTTCATTTTCTATTGGCGTTTGGGGCTTGTGTATTTTCACATAACGCTAAAGTTCTTTTATCAACATAGTACCGTCGGCTTGTACTCCATTGGCTTGCCACCACGAAATTATTTCATTCTTCGAGTTATTAGCCATCGGAGGTTTATTTTTTTTTGAACTGAATGATAGCCGATAGTTGCATTGTCCATTAGTATCACATGAGGTTCATCTAAATTATTTAGAAGATTTATAAATTATTCTTCGAATTTTTCAAAATTCATCTCTTCGTGATACTCCGTCGTCTTGAAAGACTTGAATGCCAGTAAACAATTTGGTACAAATTTAGAAGAGGTACCAGCATGGCAAATTATTAACCTTTGACATTTGCCCTCAGGTACCTTGGTAGCCAAGCCAATCTGCTATGTTTCA